GTACATACCCTGCAGTGCAGATAGAGCCTAGGCCTAAGCCTATCAAAACCTATTAACTATAATTTTGTTAGTATTGTTATTAAAGAACTGAAGCTTACTTGAAAGAAAAAGTATTTTTTATGCACCTATTCTGTTCCAAATCTTCGCGGCGAAAACTTGGGCCTCATCCATGTGATTTCTGATTTCGTTAATTTGTTGAAATTTATTTACTCTTCTGACAGCCATCTCATTGAATGAGGTCGGCGCTGGATGCAAAAGATCGTAACATGGAGGATAAACAAGGCGGTTCTACCACGCCTGCCTTGCCCTGGAGTTGTTATTTTGATAAACAACTTAAATAACAACTCCCTGGCCTCGTTTATGACATTTTATGGCTGAGCGAGCGCCATAGTATATTGGCTTAAGATAAGAATTTTTGTTTCATTGCTCTATGACATCGTGGAAATCACATTTTTCGTGAAATTTTCGGGATATTTTTAAAAATCGGGAGATATTAATAAAAATCGGGAGGGCGGGAGACGGCCTCAAAAATCGGGAGAACCCGCGATTTTCGGGAGAATTGGGATCTCTGCGAAAGCCCAAACAATCAATGTACTCGCTCCATAGAACACAAAATAAAAATAACAAATTTAAACTTAGATACTAAAAATTTTAATTGAAATTAGTTAATTAATACATTGAAAGAAGATGTTTTGTAAGAGCAGACTTTAATAATGAAATTGATTGATAATTTTGAATTTCTATTGGTAATTGTTCCCATAGTCGTGGAAATATAACACAGAATTAAGGAAAGTACAGTATTAGACTTTGCTTTCCAATGTATAAGTCTACCCAGATCTTTGACTACTATACTGGGAAAATGAAGGAGAACACAAACCTTTTAAAATCTAAAAGCCTAGTACAAGTTTCTGAACTTAATGCATCTTCAATAGATAAAATATTAAGAGACTTTAGTCTACAGAAATATGATATCTCCCAAGAACCTTCTTTTCTAAACATTATTATTCTTGTCGCTCTTCTTTGAATACTTTCGATTTGGTTCAAATGTGATTTTTCAACTGGTGCCCACATAGAAGCACAATATACTATAATCGGTAGTAGTAAAGCTTTATACAGGTTTAACATAGCAACCCAAGACATTATGATGATGATGATTGTGACGGTGATGTGAGTATGATGATGATGATGATGTGAGTATGATGATGATGGATGATGATGAGTATGCCGAATCGTGGCAGTTCTTGATGGTTTTAGTGTGGATGGAGATGGTGTTGATGATCAATACATACAGTACCATCAGAAATTTAATATCCAATACGACTATGAAATGTGCAAATCAATGTAAATATTGACTACCTTGACCATTAATAATTTATACAGTACATAATTGACAAATTAGATGATGTCACTAAATATGAATTTAGTGAATAAATATGAGCTATAGTACATGACATGATGAATATGTTCTCCTTTTAAAGTAAGAAGGCAATGATCGCCAGGTTAATCCTCTATCAGGTGTCATCCTTTTTACAGGAATTGCTATGACTAACAGGATTTACATCAATGACATGCATTATCTGCGAAACAACCTCCGTCAACATACTATTATTGATTTATGTATTTTTTTCCCTCACATCATAGTTGTTAACACATTAATTAATATTTTGATATACGTTATTCAATCATTTTATAATTAAGCGATTAACTTTGAAGGTGAATGAACTTACATATGTGACATCTTTATTATTCTTTTTAATTTATTCATATATCCGTATGAACACCTGAACATAAACTCAGCATCCTGGTGTAGCATGTAACTTTCTGAAGATTTATGCGCATCTGTTGCTAATAGTTCAAATGTACGTCATTAGCAGGTCGCAGTAGGGGTCACTATTATCATGTGTTGTGAATGGGACCACTGTTATTATCACTACATCAGCTGATGTATATAGTACCTCTCAGCATATGCTATAGTAACCATGTCTCTGTTTTGTAGGAAGTTTTTGAAGGGTGGATTTGGAAGTGGTCGTAGAATGTCTGACGCTCCGAACTGTGAAGAGAGTGACGATGAGAGTGAAAGTGTTAAGAAAATAGAAGTTCACCCTGATACTGCCAATCCAGATAAAGTGTGGGAACGCATGAAAGTGAAACAAACAGTCAATAAGGTTACACCTATGGACCCGCAGATGCCAAAACCTGAAGGTAGACTTTGTACTCTTTCATTTTATTTTGAAAATATTTAGCCGGGATGATACACAAATAGATAGCATAATTTATTAAATTTGTGAGCATGGTTTTAAATGTGCTGTATGATCATTTAATTTTGTTTTCTTATTTCTCTCATGATCTTTTTTCCCTTGTAATTTTCCTCTGAAATGTAATAATTACTGTTATTAATATTCATTTCACCAAAAAACAAAACTGTATCAACCACTGCTGTGTGAAGCATTCCTCCAGCATTTTTCATCTCAGTTTTTTTTTTACATTTCTTGTGTATACATTTCTACAATCATTCAATGGTTCATTGTGTTTCTTTGTTGTTTCTTTTTTTATATGGCTGTATTCTCTTTTTAATGGTTTTTTTTAATTTTGTTTATTTTGTCCCAATTCTTATATTTATAATATACAGTATATTTATTATAATTATTTACTGTATATATTGTCTCAATTCTTAGATTTATATTTATAATTAATTGTGTATATATTTGTCTTAATTATTACTGAACTTGTAAGGCTCACATACATTTGGCTTTTGAGCCACAACTTGTGACCACTTTTTATAAATAATGATGAATTTTTTTTAAAAGAATAAAGTGAAATGCTAATGCAGTATTTCACACCATTAGGCATTGCTTCCATTTTTATATGATTTGATATTGCTCAATGCTTCATCATTTTTGTAGTATCTAACTAAATTTATATTTTATGTATTTTATGTTCTGTTAAAGTACTAACTTTGTAAATTAGTTTATTGTATTTTTTGGGGCTGTGCTCTAACAACGACATTGTGTTGTTTTTAGGCAATCCGACTATTTGGCCATTTGTATAAACTGTTGAAATAAATAAATGATCATTATATGATGAAATAATAATAATATAATATATATATTTTCCATAGTTAATATAATTATAATAATATCATTTTTTTGTTTGTTCTTTCGAAAATTCAAACAGACATTTAATTTTTTCAATGTTTATTTTAAAGCAAATAATCAAGGACACATCAGTAATAGTAGTATTAAGTCATCATATTCTTATAATACTGTAAGCCTACATAATATTCTAGATGAGTTTTTCAGTTGGATTGAGTATACAGTACATACAACAAATATCTAAGAAACATTCTGTTCTGCATTGTGCAACCCTTAAAATCACCTGATGAAATTCAGTGGCAGTGCCTGAGGTTCCCAAGCAAGAGGTCACAGTTCGCCATTAAAAGGGCCATGGTCTGGACAGTGGGTACAAACCCACCCCAGGTCAACCATGGTCCGAGCAAATTTTAAGAATTTATACTTAGAATGATGACCAGAAATTGCACTTTTAGTCTGTAAAAATGCTTTTTCCCTGATCAAATTATTGACTTCTTCCTAGATGGGGTCCAGGGTTCCCTGTTAAGGGGTTCTGTGCCACTCTTGGACTTCTCGCTGGCACTGTCACTGCTGAAACTTTTCCCTGTCCAGTCAGATGACAAGCTCGTAATAACAAGCATACTGTAGCTGGCCTTGGATTAATCAGTAATGCATATTATTGTTAAGTTGATACACCATTGTTTTCTTTAGTTTTCCTGATTGTTGTTTTATTTCATGTTTTTGTAGGTCATACACGCTTTGTGTGCATTTCCGATACTCACTCAAGACATGATCACATGCCACCAATCCCACCTGGAGATGTACTGTTACATGCTGGCGACTTCACCAATATTGGAATGCCACAGGAAGTTGTTGCATTTAATGACTTCTTAGGTAAGACAACTATAATTAATATATTTTTATATTATTTATTTTAAATTTGTTTAATATTAGACATTCAGTGACAAATAATTATTGATTTTATTGGTTTTTTAATAGTTTTTCTTATTTTGTATAATTTAATGTCAGGGGACATTTTAATTACTTTTAATAGGTTAAGCCAAAACATTTATTATTTCTTATTATTGTATTTATTATCAATGATAGTAACTGATTAAAAACATAAAAACTTTAACAATAATAACGCCATAATAAGATGATTTTAGTGCACCCAATCACCGCTTGAAAGCAAAATGTAAATCCAATTTCATGAGAGACTACAGTATCCAGGGATGCTCTCCAATTGTGACTAAATTCTGTTTCTTAAAACAGTGTGTATCTACGTTGAAATACTGACTTTGGCTAGTTAGCGGTGCAAAAACACTCATAAAGATATTCCGAATCATTATCATAATATATGGATGTCGATAAATCTCAACATGCCTTAGAATAATTGCCTTGAACATGTATGCAACCTTGGATGCATGCATTTAAAGTACTATGCCAAACTCTCTGAGGAGTATTGATTGTCTTGTTGAATACATGTAGATTCATCCTGTACTTATAATCCTGGTTCACACCAATATAATTTTTATCAGAGACAACCGACAGTCAAAAAGGATCTCTTTTTTTCATTAACCATCAATCAGCTGCAAGCATTTCTGAGGCGTCAACCCAAGGGGATTTTTTTTGACCCACTGTTGGAAAAATTGTTCACATTTGTAGGATATTGATCTGTTCTGCCACCTAAAATCATCAACGTTTAAATCCTCTCTGCATAACTATGGATATTGGCCTCTTTTTTGGCCAAAAATAGCAGAGGTTACACTGCACCTTTTTAAAAAAGTGTATTCAGACTAAAAGTTTCCTTGACAATTACTAAATTTGCAGACTGTCTAACAGAAATGGGTGATTCCAAAGATGGGGATGGGAGGAAGAAAAGGGCATTGTCCGTTCTTTTTTTTGTACTGCCCTGCATCCTATTATTATAACTAAACATGTTAGTTTCACAAGGAACTAAATATTTGTGCATATTAAGCTGTAGGAAATCCTTAACAATGCTGTGGTTAAATAAATTTTTGTGAATCCTTCTAGAGTGTCCTGAAATTTCCATATCTCAATTTACTGCGCATTATCAACATTAATTTTCATTAAATTTCAGGAACATTACCCCATGAGCACAAAATTGTGATTGCTGGTAACCATGAGGTGACCTTTGACAAGAAGATGATGGAAGAAGGGACTAGCCAAGTGTTTATGGGATTCTCAACAGCACTTCAACAACTCAAAAAAGTAGATTATGAGGATATCACCTCACATCTCACAAACTGTACTTACTTGCAAGATTCTGAGGTTGAAGTTTGTGGCTTTCGCATCTATGGATCCCCATGGTAATTATTTTATTGATTTAAATAGTAATATGCTCAAATCAATTAATTATATTGCAACTGAGAATTAAATTATACAAAATTATCATAGGTAAACTATGAAGTTGGAAAAAAGCAATATAATATTCACATCTTCCTAAAAAGGTATATTGTATTACAATATAAAATCAAAATCACAAAGAAAATTAATAAACATATTATATTGTGCTCCTTTGGTATAAAAATTCTCAGAAAAAGTTTAAAAAATAACCTAATTTTAATTTTTTTTTAAAAACCTACTTATAATGAGAAAACAATGCACATAACATCTAAATTAGATGTACTTTAGCAAGCATTGTTCCGGTTACAGTAGATGAGTTATTCTAAAACATGTTAATTTGTTGATGTTAAATGTGATTGAATATGTATTGTTGAATTATGAATTAATATATTCTGCCAGACCTATCTAACAGATTGTTGCTGTTTATTTTTTCCATACTAGACAATAAAAAGTTAATGAATTATGATAATTTCATTATAATAAATTTGTTATAAAATATATATTTAATTTATTTATTTATTACATTTTGAAACTTAAATTAAACAAATCTTGAATAAAATACAAACAAGGTACAATTAAAGCATCAACCTATATCGAGACAGTAGTAAAGTATTGAATACTGAGTAAAAATTTGCCAGTATAAATTATAAAAGTTGTTATTCCTATTTAAATAACTTAAAAATATGTCAAAATACTGTACAATACATTACATAACAACATTAAAAATGTCCATTATAAAAGTGAATTTTTGATTTAACACTATTAGGGCTGCACCTGATCGGTGTCAGGCCATAAAAAGGGAGTTTGTAGCCTACAGTAAGATTAAATAAATTAAATATTATAATATGATAGCTATTATTATTCTGAGGAATATACAAAATAATAATTACTACTGATGACAAACACATTTTATATTTTGTAAAGTGGATTAAGTTTTACTCAAAATTATTGACAGTGGGCAGTGTTTGCAAATCAAGATAGTCTTGCTGTACAAATGAAGGGGTCTATGCTCCAGTCTGTATGAATATATGAATTAATGTGCTGTACTGTATGTCAAAACTATTTGATACTATTCCAGTGTTCATAATTCTAAATACAATAAGATTAAATTGAAATAGAGAAATTGCTTTTAACAGCCTAGGTAAATATCTTTTCTGAATCATTTTATAAAGCAGGTAATTGAAATATTAATTTTGATTTTTTTTTTTTAATGTACCGTATTATTTTGGCACTTTAGTATATTAATAGTTTTAGTTATTGTGTTGTAATCTTTTATGATGTCATTACAAAATTATCTTTTAATAAATTCTTATTAATAGAAATCCAAGTGCAGTTAATAAAAGAAATAAAATAAATGCAATAAAATGTATAAATACAAAATAAATCAAGATTAATATTCCACACAATATAGCCTAGTATTTTGGCTTTGACCATTAGAAAGTTCAGATATCCTTTCTAGTTGTGATATTTAATTTTGTATATTTATTTCCATAAAATGCACAAAAACAAAAAATAATAAGATATTTAAAAATCTGAAATTTATCCTAATTTACAGAAGGCCAACATGATAATATTCAAAATGTATTGATAGGTGGCATAAATTAGTTAAGGAACCTATTCGTTCTAAGTCTTTAAGGCTTGAACTAACTGACTTGATTCTACATTGTATCTGCTTTTGTATATATACAAAAGAAATGGATGTTTTATGTAGATATCCCTTCACAGTAACACAGAAAAACTATATTCCGTGATGTAGCAACGAACTAATTATCAATGTGCATTAGCCATCAGTGGAGGTATTAAACAGTAGTACTGTATTTAGCCAGCCAATAAAAATATTTGTGTACAGTCAATTACCGGTGCCATGCATTAAATCTAATTCTGTAACAAATGCCATACAGTAAGAATATTTTACTTGAAATCATATATACTAAAGAGAATTCCCATTATTTTGTAATTATATATGATAATGATACTAGTTTTTCTATAAATAATATCAAAATATCATTAACAGAAAGATTAATTTTTTCTCAACTTATTTAATTAGAACATTGGTTTGAATTTTTTTTAATGCATTTTACAATTGTATTGTCTGTTAATTATCTGCTAAAAAATATGGAAAAATTCAATTCTATCTTGCTTAATTTGTATATTTTAATAAGTATGTAACTTACAATTAACAAAATTGAATGGGAAAATGTTTATAGAAATTAATAGACAGATAAAAAATATGTATTCTCTGTTCTTTTGCAAGACCCTTACATTAGCTGGTAATACATAGTGTTTTTGTTTTAAGTGTCTGTTAAGCACAACTTTTTTATCTGTTTGGTCTTTTTATATATGTAAGCTGTTTGATTTGAATTTAATTTATTTCAATATGCTTTTATTCAAAAACATTAACAGAAAAAAAAAATATAAAAATGAACTGATTAGATCATAGAAGATAGTTTTAATTAAATTTTTTGCAGACAGTACGTCTTTAATTGACCCATATTCTTTTATTTTTCTATCGTTTAGGCAACCAGAGTTTTATGACTGGGGATTCAACTTGCCAAGAGGTCAGGCTTGCCTAGATCAATGGGACAAAATTCCAAAAGGAATCGACATTCTCATGACACATGGACCACCTCTCGGTATGTTAGCCATTTTGTCATTTAAAATGTTTAATGTTGAATTTTTAAAATACATAAAACTTCATCAACTGAAATATGGCGAACAGTATGGTGCAGAAAGGTAAATTGATATTATATCTTTAATTATTTTATATCATTGCTTAGTTTCTTCTATCAAAATATTATTATCCTGTATTTACACTTTCCTGACCAATTTCTATAACTCACATTATTTGTTCTCTCCTATTTGAAATTGTAAAAGTAACAAAAGGATAAAACAAAAAAGATAACAGAATACATTGAAAAGATCCTTATAATTGGTTCAGCACATTTTTTCCAAAAATAAGTTGTGCACTTGATAATAGAGCCCTTGAGCATGAGGTGCCATTTATCCGTATAATTATATCTCTCTTTACCATGTACCTGGTTGAATGGTCTGGTACTGAGCCAGCTACACTATTTCTTTAGGAATAAACACCAATTGAATGGTCCCACATTGTCCACCCAGCTAACAAATTTAATGCTATAATAAAATGTAATAACTACGTAATTTACCTTGTAGTTTGGTGCTCAAAATGTTTTTGTTTTTTTTTTTCTTTTATTTTGTTACTTGGTATTTATGTAGTGCTTTTTCTTTAGGTTACGTAGTGCTTGGTTTTTTTCTGGTCATTGGGTCCACATGCTTAAGTAGCGGGCAACTCCACCAGATACCCATTTATAAAGTGCCTTGCTCAAGAACAATCTAAGTGCATACTGAGGGATTGAAACCCTGGGAAACCAAACCATTCCTGCTGCGCCAAACCACTTTCACAAGACACATTGTAGAAAAGACTGGTTGTAGAACGATAAATACATATTTAAACATAATTTAAACTAAATCATTGCAAACATTAAATGCAATATTTTCTACTGTTATTTTCTGACATTATCAAACCACCGGCCACAGAGCGCTCATGAATGCTATAATAACATTTTATGTTTGTTGGGCTATAACCAGGGTATAAAAAGTTCAATAAAATAATATGTACTACAAAAGTCTACCATTATTTTTATTAAGATTTTCATTGAATTTCAGGTCATGGTGACATAACAAGTACAAACACCCATACTGGATGCGTTGAGCTGCTGAATGTTGTACAAAAGAGGATCAAGCCTAAATACCATGTCTTTGGTCATATTCACGAAGCCTATGGCGTGACCACCGACCAAGTTACCACGTATATAAACGCATCCACTTGTACTCTGAGATATACACCAGTAAATGCACCCGTTGTCTTTGATCTGCCACCACCAACATCAGATGAAGTCACAGAAGAAAGTGAAATGTAACGTACAAGCATTTTGTGGAAGTGGGCATATTTTCATTCAGAAGCGTGTACTGCCCAAATTATGTCAGGAAGGAAAAAAATAAGATGCTGTATAAACATAGTATGAGGTGTGAAGAGAATATTTTGTGGTCTTGAAAAACTTATAGTGCTGGTATTTTGTCCAAAGCACAACCCAGAAGCATTAAATAGGAAGGCAAGTACACCTCAACCACCAAGCTACAGCACCATATCAAAGAGAAGGCATTCTCCTGAAGTAGGTTTTATGGCCACTGTGGCCTACAAATGCTTCTTGTTGTCTTCATATTCAAGGACAAAAGCGAATCTTGTTTTATCAGACATTCTTGGACATTTGCAATGACATAGATTTTTATTTATTTTATTTTATTTATTCAATCGTCCAACAGGACCAAGAAGGTCCCACTTACAGGCGAAGATTGTAGTAAAATATTTCTATGTACAATATAAAAATATAAAATATTTAAAATTCATCAAATTATTAAAACATTGTAGAGTTAAATATTACATCGATTAAACACATAAAAATTACGTAAGATAATTATTTAGATCTTGAAGTATAAACGACTAAAAATAAATTTGTTGTGTTGCCTAAGCAATGGAATTAAGGTCGGTCATAATTTTTTCTACATGCCTAAACAAATTCTATAGTTTATGATATAATCATTTACTCATGCATTTTGGCTGATAATATGGTAATAACTAAGCTAAAAATATAATAATTAAAGCTTGAAAATTGTCTTTTCATACATCATCAGGCACTCTTTGCAAAAAACAAACCGACCTTAGATTTGTTTAAGAAACAGAAACTTTTGGCCTATAATAAAAGAGTACTTAGTTAATGTAGTTTATGTTGATGGATTGATTAATCAATTGACTTATTAAATACATTTAGCATAACACTTTGAATTCCCACAAAATTAAAAATACATTTTACAGTGGGATAAAAACAAATAAATACAAAATAAATATTGACAAAATTAACATAAAAAAAAACATGTACTGTAATTAGTAAAATTAGAATGTCTAAATTTTTAATGTAGTTGAACACATAAAAATGGATTAAACTGCATAAATTGTAATACATAATTAATTGCTAAATGTATTTTGGTGTTTTAATTTTTGTAATTATGTTATTCTGTATGTAGAAAAGCATTTGTGTTCAGAAATAGAAAAGTAATTGAATGAAACAGAAAATGAATGTTGATAAACAGTTCGGATATATTGGTAGTGGGTTTTCCAATCGTTGATAGGCTGTGGAAGGTACAGTAAACCTGTCTAAATGGTAAATTGCATTAATAGTTATGGTTGTAGGTAAAGAAAACATGTTTTTATTGAAGGCATACTTTGAGACCTATTGTTTGTTAACATGAATATGTATTGTACGTTTTTATAAGATTTTCTTTACAGAAGGCTACAATTAAGTCTGCAGATTTGGTAGTGTTTGTTCTATAACCTGGTCAGTAGTGGTGCCAGTGGGTGGGCCAGCTGAGCCTGTCCTAGCCATTAGCCACACATGGCTATCAGGGATTCACAGTAAAATCTGTGAGGGAAAAATAATAATTTTCTGAGCTCAGAATCTGGCCTAAGAGTGCCATTTTTTCTTTCTCAGCGCATAGTTGGGTGTGGTCCATCTGCTCTGGGAAATGCTAACACTACCGTAAAAATTGGTACATGTGTTTTTGAAAAAAGGGCAGAGTTGTGTATGCACAATTAGACCAATACACCGGTAATTATATACAGGACAAAGAGTTTGAATGTGGTTCAGTTTGGAGTGGTATTAGGCTCTGCCCATGTTTTTTCTCAACACTCTCTTGGTCATTTCATGTATTGTACATTTGTTTAATTCTTGTCTCAGATTGATAATATATAAATCAGTAAAATAGATTATCATTTAATTGATATTCTACACAATTTAGAAGGTGTGTGTCATTAAGAAAAAAGTAATAAAACCAGGGACCATTTTGGGAATAAAATTATTCCGTACATAAATAATTCCATATAGTGTAATAAATTACATTTCCACTTTTGTTATTTTAAATCTTATTTTAATGAAATTATGTGATCAACTCAAGATAATTTTAATTGTTTGATTTTCCGTAGAGTCTTACAATTAGCTTCACCTGAACATATTTATACAACAGTTTAGAGACCTCATTAAGTATTGAAAAATGAACAATTTATTCATAGAAACAGTCAGTTTGTGTCATTAACATACATAATATCAATAATGTTGCTGCATATTGAATGTTATGTCACATACATTAATCTAGCTGTAACCAAGAAGTTATAATTATTTTGTAATTCATGCTGTAACATGAAACGAAAACAGGCATTGAAAGCATGATTTTCAGCTATTTTAAATAAAAAATTATTTTTATATTTATTTTTGAATATTATGTGGCCAGGATTGTAGTGAAATTACTGTTTATACATCAAACCTCTCTAAGTCAGTCTTTTATTGCAGTGGTCTATAGGCTGTATCACTTGCAGTGATTGTGTAACGTTATGACCATACACCTTCCTTCTAAACAGAACAATGGTAAGTTTTTGTGTTAGTGATAAATAAAATATTAAATAAACATATTCAAATTCAACTTACAAATTGTGTACTGGCTTTTAAATTGTGCAAAATACATACAGTATGTTATAGTGACTTTGAATATAAATGAAATATTTATTTTGGAAAACTGTATATTGATCATGTATTTAAAAGTTATAATTGAAGAGAAGAGAATTTTATTTGTATTAAATAAGGCAAGGCATATCAGATTTTAGTCTGTGAGACTCATAAGACATTATTTCATAAAGCCAGGCATATCAGATTTTTGTCTGTGAGACTCTGAAGTCCATGTTTTATTAAAAGCCTGGCATATCATATTTTTGTCTGTGAGACTCATAAGACAATGTTTCTTCCAACTTTGCCTGATACTGTCTGATTATTTCAGACAAGTTAAATTTCCATATCTGTAGAGAGTTTGACAATGCTCAAATTAAATTTATCTAAGTCTGTCGCAGGCATCTCAATTAATTTAACAATAGAAGGTTGTTTGGACCAAATTATCATGTTTCATCATTGATTATTATGGGTAGTAAATTTCTGCTGGCATTAAAATCGGCAATACTTGAAATGTATATCAATCTTATATATGTTTATGTAGTATAGTAAAAAGTAAACCACTATAGAGGTGGATACGTGATTTTGGAAGTCAAAGAAACATTTTGAAATCTTTCTAGCACGGAAATGTGTAATTTTGCAAACTTCAGTTCAACAGAACAGGCCTATAGGAAACATGCTCATACTCTTCCTCAGAACTTGTGCCATTTATAAAAATTAAATTCAGCCTAATTATTTCTGTTTTCATTTTTGCTATTAATACATTATACATGGAATTTGAGCACTGTTAGGTTTTTCATTTTTTTTATAGTCAGTCCTATTCATTTTATTTAATTAATATTATTACGCAAACTGTAAAACTTCTAATAGAAACCCAGTACTCTATTAGAAACTCATAATATAAGCCACCTTTAAAATTAATCTACAATAATGACCCACTACTCAGTGGGGTTACTACAGGAATGTGAAAACTTAATACTTAATGTTTTGTGTACTGTATAGCAAAAAAAAAATAAATCTATATGCATGGGTATTATTTTTTATAATTCTTAATCAGCTGTGCTCAGTTACTGTATTGTGATCCACCTTAATTGTGACCGATCTTTAAAACCAAACAAACGAATAGTGACCCAGGTTTCTATTAGAGATTTTACAGTATAATATTGTTTAGCAATAATGATATTGTTATAACATGAATATTGTTATATGATTGCAAACTTGTTCTTTTTAAAAATTCCTATTGTATTGTTTTAAATTTGTAGGTTTTAAGGCATTCGTATGTTTTCTGTATTTTCTATTTAGCAAGCATGTGCCGTGGCTGTCATCCCTAGAACCACTTGTTCAAATCCTACAAGTACCACATTGCTTGTGTTGTACCTACGTTGTCTCCCCTCACCTAAGAGTATAAATATATTGGTTTGAGTTGAAGGTAGGTCTACTCCCAGTGGCATACCTAGGGGGTGCATTGAAAATGTTGGAAGCCAAAAAAATCATGCTCAAGCAGTTAAAACTTCCCATGCTCCCCATCAGCATCCTCTCCCCCCACCCCATCCATTTCAAGAAACTGCTGTATAGAGAGGTTTTTACTTCAGTGTCAGATTACCTGAATTTGGTTAGTAATAATGTTTGAAGTGGTCATTTTAAGTAGTAAGTTCAGGAAAACGGTGATGATAGGGTTGGTTTTTTTTTGTTTTTTTTATTAAGTTCTGGTACTTTTTAGCAATCAGTTGTTGGGTTGCAATCAAGAAAAAATCCAATAAAAGAAAAAAACAATAACCTGATCTATGGGATGTTTGTTTGTATTTTGACATAAGGGGGCATTCTAAATATTTTCCTATCCTATTTTTCATTAATCTGCCTCAGACATTTTCTAACTCAAACATTTCAAAACCTGAAATTTCTGTGGCATAATTACAAAACTACCTGGATATATGCAAAGTGTACTACCACCACATTCTGCCACCCATTCTGATTATTGTAATGTAGTGCATCTGTTACATTCTGAACAAACGCCCGGTGAGGCTATCTCGTGCAGTGTGCGAGCCTGGGGTTGTCTGTAGACAATGGACTTTCGGAACTGTCAAGTTGACCCATGAGAACATGTCATTTAATAGCCATAAATACTCGCATGTAACATGAACATGCAAGTTCACATGCATTTAGACTGTTTCAGGTACCACACATTAGCAACAATATCCAATGGGCAGGCTTACCTACATTATCCCTCTTTCCAATAATTGTACATTGTTCCTTCATGCACAAGCCTTCAAATAGGACCAATCTTTAAAGCCTGGCATTAATGTCTCTTTCAGAAGATGACCAAAATGAACTACCGATAAGTTGCGCCCATCTCGGAACAGTCTCACAAGTTATTTCCATAGGCACTAAATATAATTATATGTCCTACTGGGCTTCACATACAGCGACTCAGTGGAAGCTCCAGGAATTCAAAACAGAGGGGCCCAGAGAGGTATTTTCACATATAGTGTTTAAATCACCTCAGCCCCAACATGGTTAGGGCTGAGGTACAGTAAGAAAATTTATGATTATGGCTGGAAATGACACTCTCAAACTTAAATTAGAATATAATTTTCATTTCTTATCCATTTTTCTTTGGATTTTGAAAATTTTAGGGGACCCAGACCTGGGAGCTCCCACTTGAATCCGCCACTGTGATTTATCATCTAAACGTTATGATACTGACAGCCTCATGATTCAAGGCAACTTTATCACAATACATAAAATTATATATTTTATATCATTTTGCCAATTTTCGAGTCTTTTTGCTTTGCACCAGTTTAAAAATACAAAGAATAAAATGTCCTATCTGCATATCAAGGCTCCCTCTTGATAAGAATGGATGCTCTGATATTAAATCATAAATAATTGGTCATCATTTTTCTTTTTTTTGGGGGGGGGGGGGGGGGGAAGTATAGAATTTTTTCAATGCACTATATAATAATGTAATTTTCTATTTTACATAAATGTTTAATATTCTGCACTTTTTGACAATTTTACTTCTTTTGTTTTCAGAATTTGAATTGAATTGCATTAAGATTTAATTCATGAATAAAACAATAGTACAAATTGTACATGAACAAAGTTTTATTCAACTTTTTGATCCAAACACAAACGGCTTCTTTTGACAAAAAATTTATTTCACTTAAAAAATGGATGAATTGTTACTTTTGATCAAAATGACTTATTTTTTTCTGAAATTACATAAAATGGATATCATTCATAATATATAATATTATACCTCAATCTCCTTAAAACAAAAACAATGTTTAAAATTTGTTTTCAAAATACATTGCAAGAAAATATGACTGCAGTATATTCACTCTCTGTAAAATGTATGAAGCCTAAATTCTTCATAATTCATGATAAAACCAGCAGGGTTTATAGTACCTTTTAAAATAAAAGTTCACATAGTTGAAAATAGTAAATGAAGACTACAAATTTAACTGCATAATTGTATGTTTCAATGCATTCGAGATCAGTGCAACACAGTGTAAGGTGTACACTAGTATAAAAATTGGCTAAACTTTAGCCAGTTCTGAGGGAAGTTTCAAATTAATGATTCCATATTAAATTGAGCCTAAATAGGTCAGAAGTAACAATTTTAATATATTCAAGCAATTTCATAATGTTTTTAACAAATAAATTGAAAACAATAAAATTACCAAAATACAATCCCATCATGATTACTTCATATTGATATACATATGATTACCTAACTTACAATTCTGATTCTATATCAGTTACTGTAGTAGATTTTAATTTCCTTTGGTCCAGAGAAAGGGAAAATTCCCAAACTAGTATACAGGCCCTTTATATATTACATTTTTAAGAGAAAATGATAATGTTGATTTTAAATATTGTAAACCCATCAAAGGTTGTTTACTTGTTTATCATCATTACAATTTTGAAAATCAACATGATCATCAAAATCCACTAAAGTTTAACTTCTCCCATAAAGCATAATGGTTATCTGATATTTAATGATAGTGCTTTTGCTACAGTTGTCCTGTAATAACTCCCTTAACTTACTAGGTCTACATAATTAGTTGTGGTATTATCATTTATTATTAACATAAAACAAGTACTGTATGTTTCACACATACCCTGTTCTATAGCTGAAAACTTGAATCGTATACAGGTGGTCAATAACCAGTTTTATTTCAATAGGGTGAAAATTCCTATTATATATTTACTACTATAACTAATGAAAATTTTAAAACAAAATTATTTAGAAACTTAAAATATAATTTTTGCTGTCCATGATTCCATACTCAAACCTTTACTTTTACATGATCTTAAAAGCAGTCTCTCAACAATCAACGAATTTATAGCATGACAACAGAGGCCTTTAATAACCTATACTTCACCAGATGGTCTTATGTGAAGTGAGCCCTCTATTTGCGGGGTTGATTTAAACCTTTACCCTTTGGTTTATTATCCACATGTTTTTCATGTTTTGGCATTGGTTTATCGTTGATATTTCTGACAGCTTCCGTCGTAAAGTCCTTATTACCCTTAGTGAGTACACCTGAGACCAGTAGACGCACATCATTTTTCTTTGGCGGGCTGTGGATTGGAGATTTCAAAACATGTAAATTAGGATTATGAATGAATAAAGTTCAGAGTTTGTCGGGTAGTGAAATGATTATTTCACATTTTAAGTGCTCCCTAAATTCATAAGTGTATGCTAAATTACGGTGATTAATTTAATTAGCGAAAGATATGGAGACAATTATTTTGAAACCCTCTTTCCAAGAGGGGATGCAAATGCTTTGTGAAAATGAGTATGCCACGGTACTCATTTTCACAAAGAAATACACACAACTGGTTAGCTAACAATTATGTCAATGTTACATGAACACCTGGGAAGGAAGGTGCAATCATGTTGTTACCTAGCAAACGTCGGTACTGTATGGGGGAGGGGCTGCTGATGTACTGTGTAGCGGGGGATGATGAGGCATAAGACTAGGCCTAGGCCTAACTAAGACAGTGGAATTATATGTGATATAGAGTACACTTTCGGAAGAAGTAAATTAAAATAAGAAAAAAAAAATAACTAAGAATAATTCATTTGCAGAGGTACCTTGTTTAAGTATTATACAATGCTAACAATGTGGCCCTTGTTGCCCTGGCTTGGGCAAGGCATCCATGTGCAAAGCAGTGGTGTTTGTTTATACATGAAAAAAGCACACCGGGAAAGTTTGCCTTACCATGAAAAGGTGATGTATCTAGCTTATGACGTATGCTTGCTAACTAATGTGAGTGCGACGTCACCAAAAAATGAATATTTTCTATTATAACCAAAATATTAATAACTACAAAGTTTCTGGGCATAATTCCCTTAATACGAATGAAGGGTTGCACAATCTCCTTGCCATACAAATTACAACTCCCACTGACGTCTCAGTCGAGAAATATGGGTAGCTGGAGTTTTTCTCACAAATCTGACTACGAAACCATATCCAAATTTCATGTTCCACTTTTGAACCTGTGTTGTGCTTCACATTCCGGGAACCCTGCGTCGAGACCAAAGACCCACTCAAAAATGTCAAACCTAGGCATCTCTTGTATTAGCAAGCATAAATGTCAGTAGGCTCTTCTGTCTTATCCTTGGGCCCTCTAACACTAGGTGCAGAGGAAGCGAAAAGCTGACTTACTGAACCTTGACCAGCAAATATTGGCCCACTTTGGTGCAGGAGTAGCATTTCCTAGGTGCTACATGACCGTGATAATCTCCCGGAACCCTATCTCCAGTCACCCGAAAAGGAAATATGTAGATAGAAACAAACTGAAATGGAGGCCACCTTACACAAAGCTTAGGGCATGCCCTGATTGAGCATCTCCTGGAAGATGTACACAAGTGGTGTTAAGAACAAAGTCTTAATATCATGCGAGTGTGTCTAAGAATGGTACTAGTGTGCATTCTTTTGTTTTTGCATAAAAAGAAACCATACATTTTCCTGTTTCCAAGCGTCACTGGTGCAGTCTGTTTACAATTTATACTCACTATATGTCACATAACTCAAAGGCAATGTGTCGATATTACTTGGTTTTTCCAGGTACAGTACAGGTAGTATTCATAAAGTAAACAAGTAATTCCTGAGTGTACAGAGCTATTCTTTCTGAAACAGGGGGAATTATGAACATAAATAGCAATATCCTTCTGAATGAGGCTGGCCCTTACCTTGTTGCCTCAACATATTCCTCTGCATCTTCATCTTTTTCAGGTTTTTCATGTACTTGCTTTCCACTCTGGGTTATTCTCATTCCACCAGCTTTCACTGAAATCAAATAATTTCTTTGTATTAAAACCACATACTGTACCACACACACAACAATTTCTCCAGTCTTTCTGCATTCTAAAACATTTGGTTTGAAATAATTACAACGAGCATGTTCTAACAAAACGGCATCAAGGGTCCAAATACTTTGGAATACAACTTTTTTAAAGCAGTACTAGTACTGTAAATATTAGTATTAGAACCCTCAATGATAGTGAAGACCAAAAAAACTTGGCCATTGAGAAAAATTTATTTAATTTAGGAACCAATTGTACAATTGACTACACATTTCAATCCAGAACACAAGAATCTACCCAACATCTTTGACAAGGCCAAAAAAAAAATTGTCTGTTTGCCCTCCTCCATCCGCCCCTATCTCAATGAAAATAATAGGGTGGAAAAAACAAAAAAAACTTTTAAAAACGTTTTTTTGATCTCTTTTCCTTACAAATTAAAAAAAATGTGAGTGAATTTATCTTTATTTTTTGCCAGATGCCCTACAAATTAGTCTAAAGTTGTTGTCTGGTGTAAAATACTGCTATTCTAGGCATCTGTGGGTTATTCTTATTCTATCTGATGAGTATCTTTAAAAAAAAAAATTAATTAATTAAAAAAAACCTTTTTCCACCCACCCCTATTATCATTTTTCAAAAAAGAAGGGCAAACAAACAATTTATTTTTTTGGCCAAATCTGGCCTAAAATGTATAAGGAAGTACTGTACCATTCAACAAAAGTGACTATGGAATGTTTTAGGAGATCATATCTTGTTATTTTTAAGAAGTTTTGGGCATATAAATCACATAGATGTATCTGTTATTTGCAAAATAGTTCAGACACGTGCAATGGTTTGTTTGCTTTCTGTTTGTTTAGTTAAAACGTGTTTCTTTTTTATACAAATGCAATATGATAATGATTTCATTATTAGTCTGTTCAATATGAAGCTGGCTTTCGAATAAAGGCATTATTATCTATTATTACTGTAATCTATACCATGCCTATAATTATTTAGATCTTATGTTTCATAAGGTATTTTTTAGTAGGCCTAGGTATGTGAGTTTCATAGGTTGAGTTGAGATCTTATCTTATAGGTTTAAGGTCTTTACTAATTAATTAGCTTTCGGCCCACCCAAGAAAGAAAATGATGCGCACCATTCAAAACTGCTCAAGTGAATTTTAAGCTCAGCTGTTTCAGGAACCAAGTAGGCCTAGCCTAGGCCTATTATTTTATGGTAGTGGCTATCGGCACTGCCGCAGTGCCGATTTGGCACTGCCGCAGTGCCAAAAAAAGCTGCTGTTTTCTATCGGCACTGCCGCAGTGCTAAAAAGCTGCCGTTTTCTATCGGCACTGCCGCAGTGCCAAAAAGTTGCTGTTTTCTATCGGCACTGTCACAGTGCGAAAAGCTGCTGTTAATTAATCGAATCAATGTTTTTATCGATAGATGACATTGGTGTAATTCATAATTCATAATTTTATTTCACTCAAAACGTAATGAGACTGGTTAGGCAAAAACATGTCCCTGTACAAGATGCCTACCAGAGAAACAATGATAATGTTAATGACAAAGGCGTAATAATAATAATAATAATAATAATAATTATAATAATA